TTTCCAGACAGGTATAAGAATCTTCCAACAGCTTCCAGAAAACTACAATTCCTGGGCCTACAGAAGGAGTTAGTTGATGATTTCAGGATACGATTAACTCAAGTAATGAAGGAAGAGACTAGAGCTTCCTTGGGATTCCGATACTGTGCAATCCTTAATGCTGTTAACTATATAGCAACGGTGTTGGCAGACTGGGCTGACAATGTAGTAAGTACTTTGGATGTTTGTTTCATAACATTTTATTTTCAACACTATTTAGCTAAGTGTATTCAGAAGAATTAATTACTGAAAAAATGGAACGAGATGTAAATTCAGATTTAATAAAAGATGTATAAATAAGGATAGATTATAGTTTGAGATTGTTAATGTATTATAAACTTTCTAGAGATCTGAACAGACAAAAAAGTAGTCTCCTTTACGTGCTTTGTATTGTAAAAAAGTAGTGAGTTGATTCTGGAGATGTCTGAGCCAGTGTTAACAGCAGTGATGTTGAAGTGTGTGCAGTAGCCTGTGCCCGATGCTTGAACTACTCCTCCATGCCAGTTTAGCTTAAATGGATCCAGCATGGGTATCTGTGCTGCAACACGGTTTAGGTGTTGCTTGGAAAAGCCCCTTGCTGATAACTGGGAATTGGGAATGAATTATTTTGCTGTATAATAGCCTGGTGGCAGCACGGCTATTCTGTAGCATTTCAGGTTTTCTATGGTTATGGGTACAAAAGGTCAAAAAAACTGTTACATGTGAAGTGTGTAGAAATAGGTATTGTGTGTGAGATGGGCAGCCTCCAAATTCTCAGAGTCTTCTCAGGAAACTGTGGCTCTAGCAGAGGATAATCTTGATAGGACAGCAGCCTTCATGTTGTATAGCACGTTAAACTTGATCAATTTTCTTGTCAGCCCAGCAAATTTATGATTTAATGAACTATTATTTCTAAAACAAATTACAATTAAAGATTTTGGTTTACTTTGCAAACACTAAAAAGGTCCAAATCAGTTTTCTTTTTTTAAAACCTCTTCTGTCAATATTAAAGTATTTTTTTGCTATTTCTCTAGATCTATTCCCATTACCTGTCTGCTGTTGTATCTGAAACCCATATCAGTTCCATCACTAGGATTAAACAATCATGTTTTGTTTTTCACTAAATCAGTGCTATGGGAAAGATAAGAAAGTGTTTTTAAAATATTAAAATTTTAAGTTTATAAATGTGTCAGGAGAGCGCCTATTAAAGTAGCAATGAAGAGTTCAAATGGTAAGATTATTTTTTGTAGTATTTATACCTGGGTTTGTTTCTCTAGTTCTTCTTGCAGCTACAGCAGGCCGAACTGGAGGTCTGTGCAGAAAGCAGCGCCATCAGTAAGCTGCAGCTAGGACAGCTGGCTTCCATGGAGAGTTCCGTCTTTGACGAAATGATTAACCTCCTGGAACGCCTGAAACACGACATGCTGACTCGTCAAGTAGATCATGTCTTCAGAGAGGTCAAAGATGCTGCAAAGCTGTACAAAAAAGAGAGGTGATTCTGTTCATTTACTCAATTTTTGTCATATTACAGTATTATTTATTGTTAAAGTACAGAGGTGAATAAAGGCAGGAATAGCTAATAGGCAAAATTATTTTCCTGAATAGGAACAGTGCAGGGTAGTAAGTTTTGGAAAATTCTCTTAACACTTGCTTCAAGACTATTTTAATGCTATATTTTCTAAAGTAGTTCCACAACTGGTGGGCGTGTTATCTTAAAAACCCTGGGAAAAATTCTGGATTGCTCTGTTTAGGACAAGAATTATTTTCTTCGTAGTAGCTTTAAAGAGTTGATATGAAGTGGCCTGTGATGACTGTTCAGCCTTCACAGGCTCCTAGGGCTTATTGAATGTTTGCTCCTGAGTAGAATCTCTGAGGTACTTCATAAAAGGAATACAACTAGATGATTTTCTAGATTAGATGGAATTTTTTGGAATGGTGTGTTCTGAGATTTATAACTAAAGCATGAGTTTAATATTAAATGAAATTTAAATATAGCATTGGACTGTGATTACTTTTAGATTGGAAATAGGAAAGGAGAGCTCTCTCTGAACCATTGTAAATGGGTAATATTTTTTTAAAGAATAATTTTAACTTCAGTTGTTGCACTATGGATAATTTCTTCATAGTGACATCGGGTGATACTTTCTTTCAGGTGGTTATCTTTACCATCTCAAGCAGAGCAAGCAGTGATGTCTTTATCGAGCACAGCTTGCCCAATGTTGCTGACTCTACGAGATCGCTTGCTACAACTAGAACAGCAGCTCTGTCACTCACTGTTCAAAATTTTCTGGCAGATGCTTGCAGAGAAAGTGGATTTATACATATATCAGGAAGTAGGTATCAGCAAAATGTGACCTATGCAATAGAGCGTAGGCGTCGGTGACTGGCCTCAACAGCACATGCACCTCTTTGTGTTTGCAGATAATTATGGCAAATCATTTCAATGAAGGAGGAGCAGCACAACTCCAGTTTGACATGAGTAGAAATCTGTTCCCTTTATTTTCACACTATTGCAAGAGGCCAGAAAACTACTTCAAGCAGTAAGTAGGCAAACCTCTCATCTGTCGGTATTTCAAAAGGGAACGTCCAGATGAATACGTGTGTTTTACATACAACCAAGATTTTTTCACAGTTACACTTAAAATATGGGGATCATTTATGCTTCCAATGTTTACAGCTAGAACAGTTTTGATTCTCCAGCATGTACTCAGATAGCAACAGACTGTGGCATGTGTTCTGGAGTATTTTGTGCAGTCAAGATGTCTAGATAAATTAACTTACGGAAGGAATGTAAGTAGCACGGACTTCCAAAACTGGGGCCAAAGAGAATACTCAAAGATACAATTACAACACAATAAACTTTCTGCATTGTTGAAGAAAGACTACTTCAAACCATGTTCCCACTTGGAATTACCTTGCAGAGCTGTCTAGTTGCTTTCATTGATGAGAAGAAGCTATCTTCTTTGTCCTTAGTCTTTTTTAAATAGCCCACTAAATAGCCTAGCTAAACTCCTAGGCTTAATTAGGGCAGAAATCTTAATATTTTTAAATCAATACAGAGCATGACATTTAGTCTTGGAACACTTGAAGACAAAGATTATATATTGGCATTTTTTTCATTGGAATATCCACCTAGCATCTTCAAGTTTAAGGTTTTCTTGAGCGCATCACCTTCATAAAGATAACTGATAAATACATGTTATTCCCAGCATAAGAGGACACAGATGCACAAAGGAACCATAAAAATTAATGTATAAAATGGGTATATGGCTATCTATCATATTTATACCAGGAACAATGTGACAAAGACAGGGTATCTGTTTGCTCTCTGATGGTAATAATTAGGGAAAATGATCAGGTTCTGGCAACTGTCTCTTAAAAATATACTGAATAAGTAAGTTCCTCATTATCATAGGGAAAATATAGTTACGGAAAACTAGACAGATTAAGTGGTAAATTCTATTCTGTATTTTTAATACTGGTGGAAAAACTTACAAAGCAAAAGCCATGCTGAGCACTGGGAGGCAAAATACTGATGCTTATGAAATACATAATGGAAAAGGCTTAGACAGTAAGAACAAGTGTACTATTTGCCCTGACCTAAACAGTCATTTTCAGTTCAATACTTCTGATCCTTTTCAGAAGTCCATGGAGGTTTTTTTGTTAATCAGTGTGCACAAAATTAGGTGTATCTCATGAGTGCTTCTCATATTAATCCATGTAACTTTTTCCTCTAGCATAAAAGAAGCCTGCATTATCCTGAACCTGAATATCGGCTCTGCCTTGCTTCTGAAGGATGTACTAGAGTCAGCTTCGGAAAATGAAACATTAAAGCCAAACCAGCCCTCTGCAACAGCAGCACTGAATGAACTTGGAGTTTATAAATTAGCTCAAAAGGATGTTGAGATTCTTCTCAATTTGAGAGCTAGTTGGCCAAATACAGGAAAATAAAGACTTCCTCAGCATTAGTTAGTAAGTTGGTCTAGATTACTTATTTAAAACAAAAATGTTGCAATATACTTGTGTTATTTTTTTAACTGGTTCAATCTAATCTTATGCCTTACTGTATACGGTTTAAAAAATACCTTTTTTAAAAAAAAGGTACTGACTTGGTTTCAAACTGGGCAGATCTCGTTTTCCGTAGCCAACTTGCCATTGCATTTAGACGCTAAAACCGTCTTAATCTCGAATGAATATGTCTGCCTTGTCAGTGTGCTGTGCTGTGCTGTAACGTCATTTTAAGGAACACAGTATTTACAGAGTAAGTACATCTGTGTACAATATGGACAGCTCTTCCCTGTGCACTGGTCTGCCTTCACTTAAACACAGGTGTTTTACATCCCTAAATCCCAGGGATTGGGTGTTCTGTATTAATGTGTGTAATACAGAAGGAAGGAATGAAGGAACATGTCACTTGTTTTCTTTATTCATACTAATTAACTTTTTTTTTCTTTGATGTACAAGAGTCCTATTTTTAAGTTTCTCCTTAAAAAATGCATAAATACTGTGTTGTAAGTTTGAAAATAGCATTTTACTTGAAATTGCTACCTTTCTTTAACTGTGGATGATTGTCATAACATGCTGAAGTCAGTCTTTCTTTAAAAGAAAAAAAAAAACAAACAACTTGAGAACGAGCTCAATTCTAAAGTTAATTTTATTCAATGGTAACAGCCCCTTACTGTAAGCTACAAATTGAAGGAGGAAACTCCAAAACACTTTTAGTTGTGCAAAAGAGATCTTTAATTTTTTTTTTTTTTTTAATTAAGAAAAGCAATTCTCAAGAGCTGCCCCTCCAGTGCCTGGTAAACATGAACAAGTTCTTGACATTTGTCCTTTTCATCTGATTGCTCTAATGGGGTAAGGGGGGGGGTAAATAAGAAAAAGAGAGTACTGCTTAAAATCTGCTATCCATAGCTGACACACCAGAAGAAGAATTGAGCAAGGTCCCTATTTTTAATATATATAGCAGACCACTGGTCAAACTAATACACAGCCCAGCTCTCCAGCATCTTTTTCTTCCTAAGACAGAAAAAAAAAAAGAATTCCAGTTAGATAATAATGAGGATAATTACTTCCAATTACCTTTTAGTAATTGCAACAAACACTTGCCCCTAGAATTGTATCTTGACCATGCAAAATTGTTATAACTCAAGTTTGTTTCATCTACAGCCACTACCTCTGGCAAAGATGACAGCACCTTGTCACTATTTCACAGTTCTAGATCAGTATTTGAACTTCGGGGCTACCTGATGACCTGAGGGGTCGGTGATCGGAGAGGTCTGCTTGGAGGGGATGCTGGAACTGAGATGGTGGAGGGAAATGCCGAGTTTGGTTGTGGTTACAGCAAGCCAACCAACCAAGGTCAGGCATAAACTGAACTTTTCTAAATCTTGCAGTGCAGAGTAAAGGGGTTAAGCTTAACCCAGCACGTCCTTTAATTATATAGTTTTGTAAATACACAGTGACTCTCAGAAAATATCTCCTATGCATATCCCTCCCTTAAAAAAAAAAAAAGCTTAGCATTAAACTTACACTTCTTCCTTGAATACATCCAGCGTGATCTTCACATCATCTGCAAGCTCCAGCCCTTCAGTGCTCAGTCCCAAAGTTTTAAGAGCTAAAGGAAAGATAATTTCCTATGAGTCTTGGAAAGATTAATTTAACATCTTAAAGTGACCTAGATATAATAAAAAGTAAACACAGGTAACTTTTGTAACTTTGGAGGTTGTGTGTACACTTAAACTATCCCTATGCATGGCTTGGAAAGGACTGTGATAATTGGGTGCGAACAAGTGCAAGCGCTTCAGCAGCAGCTGCCCTGGGGGTGCCGCACCTTCTCGGTGCTGCGCGGGCGTGATGTGGCCTTGCCCCACCACATCCAGCAAGCTGAACATGGCGGCCAGGTTGTCCTCGTCCATGAGGTGCGGGAACTGCCCCTCGCCTCGGCTCCCGGCCCGCACGCTCTCCAGCGCCTGGATCAGGAACTCCCGTGGTCTTTCTGCAAGGCAGTGAAGGGACCCTCAGCCAGTGACCGAAGGCCCGACACC